GAGTGTCAGCAGTTACACAAACGCGAGTCTGAGTAAGGAACTTTGGCTATTGAAATCATTTTAATCCATCAGGAGATACTTGCAAGAGTCATATAGTTGTTACTGTAATGAGATATCTAATGGATTCAAATGTCCTGTTACACTTCATTCCTGTTCTGAGTTCAAAATACATTTAGTTTAATCTTTGTTCAAAAAACCTGAACAGAGATAATAAACTTTAACCAAAGTGAAAGGTTTGGCATTGCTTGGGGAAAAATCCTGTAAAATGTCACCTTTCATTGCACCGACTGTTTAATCCAGCATTACATACTAAATTAATTCAATATAGAGTCTTTAACTTCTAACATTTTTAAGTTCTGACATGGATTTGTAAATGACAGACCTTTACATCACAGAGCTCTGAATGGATGCAAGTATGACTATGCATAGGCAACCTGGCTGCAAAGTTGGAATTTAAATACAGATATTTATGAGCAAAGGTAATTTCAAGTCTTGTTTTCAAAACTACACAACCCAGGGGAGGTGTTTTCTATCATAAACTGGAGCAAAAATGAAATCAGCTTGGGCAGAGAACAGATTCCTGCAATGTCCGAGTGTATTTCAGCAACATATTAACTCCTCTTGTTCAGATTATGTCATCATCAAAATCTCTCAGACTCATTTCTATGATTTTCATCAAAGATGTCCAAATAATAGATGGCCTCTCCTGTTCAGGTGAGATTGAAATAAGGTCTTGAGACGGAGAAGCAAAGCTCACACTCTTAAAGGGAAGAAAGTCTTTGTCTGGGTGGTTGTTGCTTTTTTGTTGTTTTGGTGTTTCTTTTTTAGTCTGTTAAATACGGTATGGAAGTGGCCACCTTCTCAGTATGTAGTGGATCTTACTTCAGAGCTTATGCAAGAGAGACACCGCTCTTGCATTTGCATCATGCATAGCATCTAGCCCATTTTTCATGTTTAGTAATTTAAGTAGGTTCATTAACAACACTTGCATCTGACTACTGCTTTGGGAAATCCAAAGAGCACACCAAACCAATTACGCAGTATGAAAACTGGCACACACTGGTATAATTAGCTGTATGTGTATAAGGTCGGTGACCCAAAACACCTCAGTCCTGCTGCTGCTCCTACTCACGCAGCCAGCTGTGTAAGCAGAATCACTAGCAAGGGATTGAAAAAGCTCACGCAGTAGAAAGCCAGGCTAGCATGCAGCTGTAGCACGTAAAACAACGCGGTTTAGGTAGCACAAGAAAATACTAGCATGTAACAAACTGATTTGCTACAATCGTCTCTGACTTCTATAATTTCAGCATACACAGGAATCATATTTTTTCCTCTCATCTTAAAGTAACTTTGGTAATTTCATTTTTCCATGTAACAAAACTTTAGCACAGTTACTCCTCTGCTTAGTGCATGCTGTTTTAAGTATGTTTTTTCTAGAACTTTTCTTATATGGGTTTGCCAAGTTTTCTGTTTACTAAGTTTGTTCTGCAGCAGCCATATAAGTACACTGGGCTTTTAAATAAAGACTTATGTATTTTTCATTCATACAGTAAACATAAAACCATACAGTGTAGTTCCAACTTTTAAAATTGATACCATGCTTTTAAATAAAAACAAACTCTTCATTCCTTAACGTCTTTATTAAAAATCCAATCATCAGCACGCATGCGTACAAATTAAACTTGGCTTAGCATTCACTGTTGCTAATGTCAAAAGTTACGTCACTGAGTCATGACATGAATACTAAGCTGTAAAGCACAGCAAAACGTCAAAGTCTGGGAATAATGCCTCCTTATCCCAAATGAAAATTCCGTAATTTACAAATAAATTATATTTGCAGATACACAAATATATCAAACACCACATGCAATAGAAGCACACCTGTTAAGTATGTAGTTAGGCAAACCACAGTAGGATTTGGTCTGATATTTGCCTACCCATATGCTATTTTGACCCTAGTAGAGCACCACCTACAAGTCCTGCTAAAGCACACAAATAAATAAAGAAATCAAGTTTTACAGTAAGTACTGAGTCAATAATTTATACAAACACATTAACTTAAACCTGTGCAAATACTGTACTCTCAAAGTTTGTGAAACAATTAAAAAATGTATACATTCAAAAAAGGTTAGGGAAAAAATATGTTTAAGTTAAGAGTCCTTTAGTCTCATCCTGGTTTGCTTAAGTAATTTCATTTCTCCTGAGATGGCACATGACTGGTTCCACTCAGACTAAAACACTCTTGTGAAACAGATGAGCACATGCATTCAGCTTTGTACCTAAAGGACTTTTCTTTCCCTTGTATGCACAAATGATTATCAGCTAGCTGAAGTTGCCAGCTCAGAACAGCAGGCCAAAAGGACTCTCTAGATAAGAAGCACTTCAAGTTCAATAGGCTCCTGGGTCCTCAATTTTCACTGCAGTTCTGCCAGTAACATGCTGAAGGAGAGGACATCGTCCATGAAGTTTAGTTTCTAGTAGCAGTGCTCAGAATAATGACAATCAATCACCAGTTCCACTATACATCCAAGACTTTTGTTAAACCAGCTATATACATGTTTTATTCTAAAACTAGACCAGTTTAACCCCATTTTACATGTGAACTACTAAATTCAGCATTTCAAATTATTTCCTTTTCTAGAAAAGTTCATTTACCCTTAATGTAGCCTTTTTCACGGACAGCTTGTAATGTAGGGCGCCGTGTAAGAAACTTCTTGAGCTTCGTTTTGGTCTTTTTCTGATCTGTGGAATCTATATTGCTAGGTGCTTTCACTGCTGAAGAAAAGAAAGGCATTCAGCATGAATATCCGCAGAAGCGACATTGCATTTATATGCCCAGGAACTACCATTAAAAAAAAAAATTAAGCTCAAAACCACATAAAAAGTCTACCCAAATTTGCAACATATTCATATGTTTTTCCTTAACTTTTTGGAATTCCTTGTAAATAGCATCTATTTTTCAAACCACCAAACGACAACCCTGTCACAAAAAACTGGTAAAATCAAGTGTGGCCTGTGAAGCTAACTAAATGGTAGCTTACACATGGCATTGATGGGGAATTTCAAAAACATGGCTATGCTTCAAAAACAGTGCTGCCTTTCATTAACTTAAACTGTTTTGAAAGAAATAAATACTTTCTTGAAATTACATATAAGGCCCAGAAGAGACAGAAAACAGCCTGCCTGATTAATAGATTTCTGTGCATAGGAAGAAATTTCTGCACCTCAAAGAAACTTAGCTCTAAAATTCTGAAGATGTAATTAAAAATGTTAAGTTGGTCTAAATGAGTCAATATAACATCACTTAGCAGAACTGCAGTTTAAGTTAATAGTGCAAATATTTACAGATGCTGTATCACAGGCAAAACCGAAGTAAAACAAATCAAATCAGTTTTGAACATGTAAAAGGACAAAAAGAATTCTTATTCTAAACCATCTATAAAAGTCAGAGAAAACAAATGTCTAGTTATCTCTGTGCATTTGACAACACCTTGAAAATAATTCATTTCACCACTGCCTATTTTCTCCTATTTTTCTTGTGTCATACAGCAGGTGCTAAAGACAATTGGTATTTTTTTTTTCCTTTTACTTTTTTTTAAGTATGATTAATAAGACATGGAAGAAAATCTTCTAACTGGCACCAAGCTGTAGAATGAACTATATAAAAGCCTGTTTCCAAACTTCAGTGGTTTGATTTCTACTTCTACTGAAGATGCAAAAAATAAAAATTTGCATTGCTAAAATCAATTAACAGAAAATTTTCAACTCACAACGCAGTTTCTTAGAGTCTTTATTCTCTTTCTCTTTTTCTTTGTCTTGTTTTTCCACTCCTGGGGAATCTGGAACATCATCTTCTAATACTTCATCAGACTCTACTACCTAGTACATTTAATAAGATACACAGTGATTAGTTTGCCAGTTCATAGAATATAGCACTAACACACATTTCCTATAGACAGTTCCACAATATACATTTTTTTCCCCTATAATGATACTCAGTTTGTTCTTTCCTAAACTTCAGATGCTAAAAACATCTTCAGAGATGATACCCTTCTCACTGGCAAAGTTAAAAACTCTGAAACACTATATGATCATAAGACCCAATAAAGAAATTTTTGCTGGACACTGAACAAAGCACAACCATCCTTTCACAATAACACTTCATTACACCAACCAATAAACAATAGAAATGTTTTTCTTTTTTCAAATCCAGTAGATAAACATCAGCTATTTCACTGTTTGCTACAGAAGCACCTGATTGATAGAGTAAAAAAAAAAAATTTCTAGAGCATTTACTCTATTGCTGATCTCGGTAATTAAAATTTTCTTAATAGAAAATAGAACTACTGGTTTGAAAATTTCAGTCAAAACACACACTGAATTCACTCTGAAAAAGTAAATATACCAGGACCTAAAATTCTTGTCCTGTGTTATTGCTCTCCCAGCATATTCTCATTAAACACAGTCAAGTGAAAACATAGATCATGTTGTAGTGCGGAGGCAGATACCAGAGTCTGTCAAACTGCCCACCTGCAGCCTCATACCTGGGCTACGCTTGTGACTGCAGACATATCACAACATAGGAGAAGAAACTTCCTCTGGTCTCAGTGCAACATACTCCCTTCCAAAACCCCGTATTTCTACTTTGCTTCTACTAAAGTGACCTTGACTTCTACGCAGTTACAAAAATCTGACTGTACCGTGTCTTCTGTTACCAGGAAGGACATTTTAAAAATAAGGCAAGGTTGCGTACTCCAGAGCGCTGCATGAGCAGAAGCATGATTTCATCAACTGAGATACACTTTAACTTGAAGGGTCGATGTTAGCTTCAAAAGTTCTTATTCCTTGTTGCTTTTCAAAAGCTTTGGATAGCCTTTTTACACAACAATCAATATGTTCAACTGCCCAATTAATGTCCCTGCTACAGATGCCTCTGCCACTGAGACCATTTGGACAGTGCTCTCTTCAAGAGGCCTCAAAGCTTTTTAGGACTGATAAATTTTAAAACCATTAACTGTTTTGGGAAAAATATCACCCGGAATCTAGTTAGATTAGGCTTGTTCCGTAATACAAATAGCTTTGAAATTTCTGTATGTAAAAGAGAGCAGCCACATGCTTCACAGATAACTATCCCTCTTGTACAACATATTGCCACAACAGCATCCCAAAGGAGCAAAGAGACCAGACTCTAATCTGTACCTTCTTTTGAGGAAGATCTCATCACACTAGAACTAGCATCTCTGTCCTGGGAAAGAGATTCACAGCTACTATTACCATAAACTTCCCAAAATTAAAATTTTGCTTCAGATCTGATGGACTTTTGTACCCAAAGCTTTGGTGCTCCAAATTACCAGGCAGTCTAATAATGTACTTTTTTAACTTTCCCCTTGTAATCTTACATCTCTCTGGTACCAGCTCCCAGCGGTAATACATTACCATTTCCTCCAGAGTGCTGATAAATTCTCCTTATTCCATCATTCACTTCCTCAACCTAACATGTGAATACCTCGGTCTCATCTCAGTATAAAAATCATGTGAATACCTCGGTCTCATCTCAGTATAAAATCAAATGGTTTGGGTTGGAAAGGACCGTAAAGATCATGTAGTTCCAACGCCCCTGCTGTGGGCAGGGACACCTTCCCCTAGATCAGGTTGCTTAAAGCCTCATTCAACCTGGCCTTGAACACTTCCAGGAATGGGGCATCCACAACTTCTCTGGGCAACCTGTTCCAGTGGCTCACCACTATGAGTGAAGAATTTCTTCCTTAGATCTAATCTAAATCTCCCCTCTTTCGGTTTAAGGCCATTTCCCCTTGTCCTATCACTACTTGCTCTTGTAAAAGGCATATCTCAGCCTTTCCATTTTCATCTATACTTAAGCAGGGAAGAAGTGGCCTCAGTTGCGTTACACAGGGCACTCAGAAAGAAACTAAACCATTCATAATAGCCTGCTGTGTTTGGGTGGAAAACATCCATATGTGCAAAACACTATCAGAGCTAAGAGAAATGAAGGCCACTGACTGGCATCAAACTCAACATAAATGCAGTTTATGGGCAGCAGCCAGGCCTGCAACTATAAAAATTAAGAATACACATGAAGTCAACTTGATACAAGAGGAATATTTTCTTCGAGTTCTCCTCCAACTTCTTCTGAATTGAAAGATGGTAAATCTTGTCTGGCAGTATCAAGAGCAAATGTTTGATCACTTTTCTGTTGATTAAATAGTTGGCATTATGCTGTCTGATAAGAAGACATAATTCAGCATTTTGCCAGGGCTTTTAATTTGCACTCTAATGCAGCCTTATTAAGTGAACAGAAGTATCAAATGCTGATTAATGTGTGTCATGAAGCACTCCCTTGGCTGTCCTCCCTGATTTCCTCCCTCTCTATCAGAACCTTTCAGGTTACTGAGACAGAACAAGTATTTGGCCACAGAAGGAAGCTCATTTCTAAGCTGGAGGTCAGCCCACATCTTCTGGTTCTTAATCCAGTGGACCACTCTTCTTCCTTTGCTGCTATTAATTGTATTTCACTTCTCACCACCAGGAACTGCCATATCCTCACCCTCCTGCCCACATTCAAGATAATCAGGAAATTAAGATGTATATGAAGCAATAGGAGTTGTTACAATTGATTATTTTACTAAATAACATTGAAAATAGAGCCTTCACAATTCAAACACATACCTGGTTGTTGATGGTATAGCTAAGAACTTTATACCATTCATTAATAAAGCTGTCATTATCGGATTGAATTAAGAGCTCAGTTCCTTGGCGGGTTTTTAGCTTTAAAGAAATAAAAACAGATCTCGTCAGAATTCAAAAGTGAAATTACCTAAATCAAATCAAGCTTCTCCCTGGCATAACTTCTAGATAATATACAGCCACTCAAGAACACTTACCAGTGAAAACAGTAAATAGTAGTCTGCTTAAAATTTAAAAGCATATCCCATACAGACATACTAAAAATGGACATTTCTTGCAGGTACTAAGAAACGTCTACATTTGAGCGGGAAGAAATGTAGAAAACTAAATTTTTTTTTATTTTAAGTTTAGAATAAATTTCTTAAGCTGAAGTACACATAATTCTGCATTTAAATAAAACATTTCACCTCAATAACATTCTTTTTGCTGGATTTGTCCTTTGAGGCCCAGTCAATCAATGCCCCTTTGAGATCCACTGTAAATTCTGGCTTAGACTGATTGACACCAAACTTCTGGAAAAAAAATGAACAATGATGACAAATTTAAAAATAAAGAAACTACTAACAGGTACACAGTCTTTCAATCCTCTAAATATAAGATACATTATTGACAGTCTATACAACTTAACCCAAATACAGTACTTTGCCACAAATCAACAGGCTTGATATCAGGAAAACAAAAGCCACACACCATACACCCTTTAAGCATGCCTATTAAAAGTTGCTCAGCTTAAAGCCCTTAAAACTCCACAACTTTAAATGCCAACTGAACCAGCAGAGTTTTTTTCCTATCACAAGTGGTAGAAGTCCATACAGTATTTGATTGTAGCTTGATTTTAGTCAAGATAGTCTCAAGCTTTAAACAAAACTGGCTAATAAGTAACTGAACAACAACAAAAAAAAATCTGTCAGTTAATCAGTGGTTGCCTATAAAACAAAAAATCAAACCAGAAACAGCAGCTTAACTAGACAGGAATCACATCCCTCCTGCACTGAAAAAGCACTTTCAGTTTTTACATTTTCATAATATATATACATTTCATATGTACGTGTGTATATATATTTTTTTTTCCAACAATGCTTTTCATGTTATTTTATATTTTTCTGTAGTGCTTCTGTTGCAATATTGGAGCATATCCTAGCAAGTAAACAGAACTCAATTTCACTAACTACTAAACAAACAGCAAATAACCAAAATGATAAAAAAAGCATTTTGCTCACAAGCAACCCTTCAAACAATTTGGAGGAAAACATCAGGGAGCTATTTTTACCTACTACTTTTACATTTATACTAGGTGTCACAATTTTTTAAGACAAAGTACTTTTTCTAGCGTTTCAACCTACACTACGTAGCTTTGAAATATCATTCTTCAAGGAAACTAATGCAGTATCCACAGAAACAAAAAGCTCAAATTGTGAGAAAAATAAGTAAAACACAGAACAGGGAAAGTTGTAAGTCACTTGGTTGTAGCGCAGAAATTTAATGCTGAGGTCCTAGGGGAAGCTTGTAGCATTTGATCCATCAGAAAGGTTCTTTTCTATTTCTTCAAAAAGTCTTTGATGTGTGAACGCTGTTCGTGTGACAACTCTGGGGGACATAAGCCCCAGGACAAGCTCCTTGCTGTGAACACAAGTTTCCAGCCTGTACAAGAACAGCCATATCCAAGGGGAGAAAAAATGGTTCAGAAAACAGAACTAATCTACTGCTTCTGATTAAATTCCCAGCATGGATGTTAATTAATGCTAATTGTGTTTTAGAAAGGCTGTTTACCACTGGAAAAATCTCCCTGTCTTGAGTCCTATGGGCAATTAAGCATTGAATGGAAAGTAGCATCTTAACTTCTTTGTTTCACCCATGAAACATCGGAATAGGGGAATATTTCTAATTTACCCAATGCCAACTAGCACTTGGGGAAAAAAAAAAAAAAACCACAACCTTCTGCTTTTTAACTTAATTCTCAGATACCTCATCCAAGAACTTTTCTTATTAATTACAGTAGAGCTTTTAAGAGAGGCCCAGCTCAGCAGCAGAATCCACAGGAACAGGAACAATTTCTAGGCCATTATGCCTCTTGCAGTTGTGAGCAGGAGACTAGTGCCAAAGTCCTCTGCAGGATCGGGGGGTTTGTTAAAAGCACTGCCCAGATGACGCTGAGAAGCACAGGCGATGACCTGCTACAGCTGATATCAAGAAACAACAACAAAACCACCTGACAGTCACTACTGTTTTGACCAAAAGGAAAGCTGTCCTGTACATCAGCTTGCTGAACTCCCCACCTGACAGATCGCAGTACTACCCCAAACATCTTCGTACTCTACCCATATTTTTGACCTGATGTCCTTCAGCGTTTCAAAGCAGCACAGAACAAGCCAAAAACTAGAAGCTAAATTCCTCGGAGGGGAAACAAAGAAGCCTTCCCTCACTCCTTCGCACAAGTAGTGCCCAAAGTGCTGTGTGAGATCCACGGATGGGGAAACCCACACAAATAAATGCAGCCTCTCTGCAAAACACCTGTGATATACCAGTATGTTATATACTCATCACAAACTTAATTTCTTTATTAAAGGAAATTTTAAGGCTCTATGAGCTTTCCTGTCAAGGTCCTTCTCTGCTCCTGGGTATATGAATACAATATGTCAGCAGCCACTTCCCTCCCTGGAAGCTTCCCAGAGCAAGCCCTGTACAGGGCATGCACGGGTTAGCTACAGGCAATCGAACGCTCCTGAAGCGCAGGTTTTGTTGAAAGCAGCAAAAAGAAAACCTTTCCCTTTAGTGTCTGCTGCCATCTAGACATAAAGTCTGCTTTCTCAAACAGAGTGCGCTACCAAGTCAGCACCAGTCAGGATAAATTCAGCTCTTCCTGAGCAGACATCTTATTCTTACTGGATTTCTCTTCTGAGCTGCCTGGGAAATTTGAAAAGGGCAGCAGTGTGAGACAAAGAGGGAGAGGTCTGTACGTGGTGCTGCCAGCTGTCCTAGAGTCACTTCTGACAGCTTTTTCTAGGAAAAAAGCATAGTCATGGGATGCGCTTATGCTAGTTACACGGCAGAGATAACTTCTATTTTTTGGAAATATTAGGGGTTTGGGTTTTTTTGCTTTAAATATAGTAGGTCCTGTGTAGCTTAAGGACTGCCTTGAAAATTTGTGCTGACATCAATAAATAGAAGACCTTTTCAATCTTTTCAGAAGTTTTCTCCAAGTCCTGGAAGCCTCTATAGGACAAGCTACACAGTCTGTATTGTGATACATCCCAGCAGTCTTTGGAAACAGAACTGGATGTTATTTATGGGAAGACTTTGGATTTATACGACACCTGCCATTCTTGTAATTATGCTTCTAATTAGAGTTGGGTAGAACGTTTTAATTCCAAGTCCTCCTCACCCATGGATGGACTGCAGAAATAGAGCTGAGAAGACGGATGCTCCTTTGTGGCCAGCAAGGGAGCTTCAGAATTTATATTTTTAACAAAAAAAAAAAAAAGAAGACAAAAATAAATATATTCTTTATTGTCACAGCAAAATGATTTAAGTTTTTTGAAACCAGACTCTGACAGGAGTATTTGCATTCTGAACAGTTTTCATTATAATCATCTGAGCTCCCGTATAATCAGCTGTGCAATACTGATGAACAGTAGTAATGTACATGTAACATCCTTGGCTATAAGCACAGTGGTATAACACAGTAAACAAGAGTTTGCCTAGATGAACCTTGAAGAGCATTTACTTCCTTGATGTTTTTGAAGTTTACTGACTTTTGGTTTACCACCACTGTACTTGACACTGAGGACATGCACCTGTTACAGAAGGCTGACAGATTAATCCTTCTAAGCAGTTACCATTTGCTGTATTTTATGAAGCCCCATCACTAAAATCTGGCAATAGCTATTACAACCCATTCACACCTAAAGTTGAGAGTCATCTTTCAACAGCTGAAAATTTAAATTTCTGTGAAAAGACATACTCAAAAAAAAAAAAAAAATCCAGATTTCCTTATAGAAAGTAGCATTGTAAAGGAGACCAAACTGCATACAAATTATCAGTTTCAGGCTTCCACATAGATAGTAACAAATTTGAGAAACGAAGAAAAGGCATTTGTATAATTTTTAGCACAAGGTTAATTGAATAAAGCTACAGTTACTCCCCACTACCGGGTGGGGGGAAATTAAGGTACTGGTTATCACCACAGTCATTCTAGAAGTCTCAGGAATGTTAACTAAACTCAATACATATAGCTCTCTCTCCACTCTTCAGGAAATACAAGCCAAGATACCAAAATATCATCAACACCTTAAAATCCTCACGAAGTCATATTAGTTAAACATTGCTTTTAATGTCTTCCACCTATCTTTTTTTCCATGAAAGCTCTAGTTTGATTCTGATAAGAGTGCTGAGAAAGTGATACTAAAAACCAATTATACAACCAGTCAAGCCTGTTTGTTTCTTCTAACACTAGTATCATTATCTACATTGCTCCTCATCCACCTTAAGCAACAAGCTTATTAGCTACCAACATGTTACCAGTTTCTGAACAGCAGCACTTCTATGCTTGGTATCTACACTTCAAAACATGACTAAGTACAGATGCTTAAATTTTATATAAAAAGCGTCCTACAAATTTACATCAGCTTTCTGTATGTGGCATATAGCCAGAATATCCCTGAGCTCTTTTCGTTTCAGCTTTTTATGCCCAATATTTACATTTTTGGGTATTCCAATTATAGCTAGAATTAACCAACAACATGTACATCATTGTATCAAAGGTATCATAGGCAGCTTACAAACATCCTTAATTAGTTGTGTTAGAAAGAATTAGACATAAAATATCCATTAAAAAATTGATCATTTCATGCTGTTTATTAGTCAAGACACTAGTGGTTCAAATAGTAGGTAAATTTGGTATTATAATTCTGGCACTGATGGACAAAATACTCTCTCTACTTTGTTCCATTAGAACAATTACAGGATTATTGCAATACACTTGTTAATTTGCACCTTGGATGACTTTCAGAAAACAGCAAAGAGGATACACAAGGTGTTATATGAAGTGACAAAACTTTACCCTTGGAAAAATTCAAATTTACTTTCAAGATTAGTGGCAAATAGCCTTACAGTGACAAGAGGCATGCAGCAAGAACACATACAGTGATAGCTGAAACTTGGTCAGCGTTTACATAGGTGACAGCGGGTCGACGACTGAGAGCATTTTTCCAAGAAGAAAGCAGCGAGAACAAGAGCTCAGGAATTGAGCCCCCTTGGCAAAATGACTTGATGAGAAAAAGGAAGAAAAGTGATGAAGTCACAAAACAATGCACACACAAAAAGAGATATGGTTATATCAATCACTAGACGAATGCTAAACAAATATTCTTCTCATAAGACAAAGAAGAAATGTAATTCTTAGCACGTCACACTGTTAGACTTGATTTCACTTATGAAAATACTGACACGGATCAAAGTTTGAGAGGTGAGGTGGAATTTTTAGCACCCCAAAAAAATTCATACAGAGAGAGCAAAAAGAGCGTGTGCTGAATATTTAATTACATATCTACAAAGCGAACTGCGAGTACGCAGGTATACAATACAGAGTCCTCGAAAGAGATTATTCCTCAGTGTTTCCAGCTTTACTTTATTCTGTTTATACTGTTGATAATTTATTTTGCTGGCCCTACTCCAATACTTGATAGTTCATATACCTGACAGCGTCCCACAGAAATATTGTGAACTATGATACTTTTGTTCCACTTAAATTATCAAGATATTTATGCCTTTTTTATCCCCACCAAATGACTGTATTTGGAAGATGTAACACAACTTACACTAGTATCCCTAAGCAATAAGCAGAGTTGCATGATTATCTTTTATGGATAATTAATTTGTGCACATTCGTTCATAACAATATTATACATTCATAACAGTATCTTAGTTTAGCATTGTGTTTTTATGATATCAGCATATAGTTAAAATATTTTTATTTTTTTATCTACAGCTACATTTGGATTAAGAGTATTAGTAGCTGCAACGGAGTTTTTAGAACTTCCATTAGTTACTCAGGCAAAATGTTTTACTTTCCAAATATGCACATTTCTACTTATAAAACTAAAGTACTTTTTGGATCCTTAGCTATAAAAGTAAATTGTAGAAGTCACCAAGTCCATTTTCTACCAGACTTTGTAATTCATCTTCTCTCACGTCTTTTAATCTTTATTCTTTTTTCCTTCCCTTTTCCTTCTGCTTCACCATCTTGCCCAACTTTACTCTTTCCAATCTCTTCTACCCCAAATGTTATTTAGCCATCTTCACCCACTTTTTTTTCCAACTACCCCTTCTACAGCAATAGAAGGGCAAAAAAACTATGTTTACAGCTCTGAAACAAACTCATTGTTTCAGAAAAGAATTGTCTATACCAATTTGCTACCCAAAAAGAAGTGCAGCAGGAGAGAGTGAGCCAAGTGGAAAGATCAGCAAAGCACAGCAAGACAGCATATATCTGTAAGATGTAATTTTTCTGGAATTTGCACAATAATACACTGGAACAATGAATACTGAATCTGAGCTCTCTTTAGTTATTATAGGAGATCCACTCAGTTTTATGTCAGACCTCCAAAAGCAGGTAAGTCAGTCATAGGTATAGAAATGGTTCTATATCTATTAATGTAGGAATGCAGCTGGATAAATATAGGCAATTTAATTATAATGCTATTGAACTAGAGGCAATATAAAAATTGAATAATCATCATCTTCAATGCGATGTTTCTCTTTACATCTTCATCAGACATCAAAATTGATACAAATACTTGTCATGCATGATGCAGGTATAAAACAAAATACAGAATCCAGCAAGGCAAAGACTAAATGATAAGACAATACTGCGTTATTCAAATAGTTCAATGCAACAAGCCAAGTGTCTATTTTCTTTATTACATGTATCACATTCTATTACCTGGAGTTTATGAAACAGTATCAAAGAAAAGTAAAACAAACTGTTCAGACAAACACAGTAGTAAAGAACACAAAAATATTTGGCCTGGAGCAAAAACTTCAAGCTTACGGAGCACCTGAATACCTCTTTATCAGTTTCTTACTTATCAAATATAAAAAAGTTTCTGAAGTATAAGAAAGTACAACTGATTTTCTTCTACATCATAATTGTTACATTAAACTACTTTTCTACTACTTGATACTAATTGATGCGTATCAGTACTTAAGCCCTAAGAATAAGAGGGCTTTAATTTATTGTGCTTTATGTGATTAACACTTAAATGAGGGTGGGAGTTGTTCCTGAGCTTACCCAGCCAGTTCCACTTCCTTGGGTTTTAGTGAACAGCAGTGATGAACCTTGTAACACCGCCCATGATGACATCCAATTCTTTCTGTAAATATTTGTAAACAAACAGAAGATAAATTGACTTTGAAAGTAGATATTTAAACTGTCGATCATGGCTGCCCAGCTGACCTGTATGTTAATATACTTATCCATATATATGGTCATTAGTGCCACCAGGAAATCTTAATTGCTATCATATTTGTAGAAGGGAGCATATGTTAACAGTCCCAGCCTGACCATCGAAGTCTAAATCAAACAAAGCTAATTAGTAGCGGAAGTAGTTCACCAGAAGAAACATCATACAATTATAATTCCAAAGGGGCTAATCTGGAATGCTCAGCTTACTCCATACTTAGTAGATTATGCCAAAGTATTGCATAATTTTGAAATTGATTGATCACATCTTACTGGGATGCAAGCATCCCATATTTATGTAATAAACTCATTTACATTGGCAATAAACTACTTGTGGCACATCTAAAAAATGCAGAAAAAGAATAAATGAGTTGTTCCAGTTGTCTATTTGCTTTTATGCCTTAGTACCTGCCCTCCTGAGGTTAAAAAAATAAGTCTTGACAAGCCCTTACAATCTATTCCCATTGCCAGACATGAATTATTATTCAACAGCTCACAAGGCGACAGGATGGCCATGTTGCATCTTTCTGTACAGCAGCACAATAATCCAGAACAATGATTCCAACAGATGCAACATAAATGCTGAGAGCATACTGTACCA